TGTGGCAATTTCCAGTCTGTTGGGCTGCAGTTGATGGTTTCCACATACCTATGAAATTCTGCAGCAGATTTGCCCTAGATCGATCTTTCCCCTGTAAGTCGTCCTCCTCAGAATCGTTTTCTTCTACATCACCCTATGGGGTGTTCTGGAAATATGGGGATGTGGTTTTGCTGCTTGAGGCCGATGGCTCAACAGCTTGATCTGGCTGGCACGAATCCCTACTTTTAATCAATGGGAATAGAACCATTTTTTAAAACCTTTATCTTCTATGAATCGCTGTATGCCATATTTTGTCTCGCCATGTTAAATTTATGCCGTTATGAGAAAAATACGTGTGTAAGCATTTCCACACTGATTAAAGCAGGTTCTATCCCTTTGGGCACAGAGATCACAAAAAAACCCATCTGCAAAAGCCCTAAAAACGTCATCTCAATGCATAACTTAAACTTCTTGGAGTCCACGAAGCAACAATGGTTAGATCATAATGGATAATTTGGTACAAAAACAAATATATGCATTTTATACGAGTCAGTTTTATTTGCCGTCTAAACTGGTGTATGCGACAGAGCTTGTCACAAAATTCGACAGCGTCGAATTTAATGTGCCGCGTCGAATAAAAACAATTTAGACGTTGCATTTCCGTCGAAAAAAAGGCGTCGCACTTCAGTGCAATAAATGCGACGAGTTAAGTTCGACTAAAATGCTACGAGTTAAGTTCGACTAAGATTCATGACGACATGGGAGCAGACAACGCAGTGAATTGAAAAAATATTCAATTCAAAGTTTTCTTTTGTATTTCTTCTTGTGCTTATTCCACTAGCATGAACGTGGGACTTTTCAATTTTAGATGATGCTTCAATATTTAATATATGCTGTCAATATTTTAAAGCAAAGCGTCGTTCTTCTGAAACGCCTTCTACTACACAGTGTGTACAGGGTGAGTAAAAAAAACTGACTGAAAACTTTGAAATTCAAATTAGCCGCGAACTTGTGGCTGGCATTTGACAATGCCCATTGTGTACAATCAACAAGACGTGCCTGGCGTGGTTAATTAATGTGAAAGTGTTTAAACCAATTGAATTAATTCAACGCGGTGCGTGTGCTAGAAAAACGATTTGATAAAACTATTCTTTTTTATTTACAGAGCTTAGAATGCATTTTAACTCCCAAAGGGAACAAACTTTATGTTTCTAGGTTACCTGATATGCTTCATATACTCATGAGATATTTTAGGCAACTTCTGTCACATTACCGCCGATTACTGCCCCTTGCAGCTAATTTGAATTTCAAAGGTGTCAGGTTTTTTTACTCACCCTGTATACAAAAGGTATATAACCTTTCAGATTTAAATCAAGCATAATGCCGTGTTCTATTGAATTCATCTGTCAGAGAAGCTATAATTGCTTCAAACAAGTTAGCAAGCCATAAACAAATGACTTTCTATTATTCTATAGTTATGCGTACAGCAGCACAAGCCCGAATTAAGTTATAATTGATCTCTTTGTAAAAGACGTTTTCGTCGCCTTACAAATCACACTCAAACAAAAAGTCTACCGAACAAACTGTTTGGTAACGACATTTAACTGAAACGTTTTTTAAGCATAAAATAAACACATTTATACCGGCTTCAAATTACCATAAAAGTCTTCACTGCTGAGTACTAAATAAATTCCATAAAGCGAGGAACACAAACACAAAATGACTCTTTCCAGTCAGCGTTATAAATTGTTTGTACTAAGCAAATTCAGTATAGTGTAAGACCAGGCCAGAATCAGTAGGTCATAAAATTATAATGAACACAACATACAGCAAAGGCAAAACAATTGCATCGTTATCGCCTTATTTTATCAGTTTTGTTTATTAATAGCATGAATTGAATAATGACATTTTGCATGGGAAGGAAATGTAGCACAAACAGCTACGATTGAAGGTTGTACGAGTTGTTACAACTGGCATTATAATGTATTGCTATAAAAGCCAGCGAACGACTATAATCAGTCGAATTGGATAGATTAAGTGTAGAATTTACTTCGATTTACTTAAACCTAAGTAAATCAACTCAGTCGACTACTCAAATTCCCTGTATATATAGCATCATGCATGCAAAACATTCTGGTCAGTTAACAGCAGTGCATATAGTGGTGCATTCTGGTCGGTTAACAGCAATGTATTCTGGTCCGAAAAACAGAAGTAAAATTGTACTTTAAGAACCCTGTACGAATTAGAATTAGAATCAGGCTCGCTCGCTGCGTCAGCAATTACGTCATTTTAATTTTACTCACTGCGTAGCCAAGTACCCGCGTATCCATTCAATAATGCGCTTTACAAATGACGGGTATTCTGCAATCGGTCCCTGTTGCCTTTAGTACCTTTGGCAGGAATTTTAGAAATATGCAAATTAGTGCGTAATATATGTATGAATGTCCATTTTTGTCCTTTTAGAATACCCCTATAACATTTGAACGTATTAAACATACGTATTAAACATACAGTCAGACTTCTTGCAATTGTTATTGCTAATGTAGTTAAATATTTTCACGTGAAATAAAAGTAATGTACTTTTCATATAAAACGAGCAAAATAGCTGTGTCGAATATATAAGTAGTAAGATTTTTAAAAGATTACAACTTTGAATTTCTTTACTTTCGGTGATAAAATTATATACTGGTAGACTCGACGAATTTCCGTAGAAATAGCAATAACGAACTAATTTATAAAACTCGTAGCGTACCAGTCGCATTATGATTTCTCTTCAAAGCTCGTTCAGGTCTTCAATTGTTCAGAGTCACTGAAGCAGAAACCCCTCAGTAGAAAATATTTTTATGGGCTGTAGGCTAGAAATGCGAATTTTATGTTACGATCATTATTCATTTCTTTGGAAATTCATTGTCTTCACGTCAATGAAAACCAAAATATTCGCAAAGCATGACTAAATTGTCGGACTGGCCACGCCACTGAACGTTTGCCGCTTTCGGTAAATGGTTTCCCGTATATGTCAGTCTTAAGGTCCCTAATCTCGAAGCGAAGGCTGCCTTCTTTTCCACTCTAAAAATTCGGAATATATTCCTTGTCGCAAACAAAATGCAAAACAATTTTAAAAGTTCCGATCTAAAGTGAATTATACGTATCAACGTGATATCGTTAAATATTTTCACGTGAAATAAAAGTAATGTACTTTTTATATGAAACGAGCAAAATATGTCGAATATATGTAAGTTTTCTAAAAGATTACAAATCTAAATTTCTTTACTTTTGGTGATAAAATTACATAGGATCATATCAGGGGTGGATCCAGCACTAGTGCACTAATTTGCATTACAAAACAAAGTGGCTATTTCGAGCAATTTTCTTGTGTCATAAAAATTAGTGCACTAGTGCTGGATCCAACCCTTCATATAGGATCGAAGAATTTCGTCAATCTTAAGGTCTCTAATCTCGAAGCATAGGTTGCCTTCTTTTCCGCTCTAAAAGTTTGGAATATATTCCTTGTACATGTCGCAAACAAAATACAAAACAAAATGTTGAACTTACGGGCCGGCTAAGGTGAATTATGCGTCAACGTGATATCGTTAAATATTTTCACGCGAAGTAAAAGTAACGTTACTTTTTATTTTAAACGAGAAAAATAAGTCGAACATATAAGTAGTAAGATTTCTAAAATAATACAAAACTCGAAGAATTTTTGTAAAAATAGCAATAACGACATAATTTATAAAGCTCGTAGCGTACCAGTCGTATTATGATTTCTCTTCAAAGCTCGTTCAGGTCTTCAATTGTTCGGAGTCACTGAAACAGAAACCCCTCACCAGAAAATATTTTTATGGGCTGTAGGCAAGAAATGAAAAATTTTTTGGTATTAAGTTCCGCAATCTCGAAGCGGAATATATTCCTCGTCGCAAACAAAATGCAAAACAAAATTTTAAAAGTTCTGATCTAAAGTGAATTATACGTATCAACGTGATATCGTTAAATATTTTCACGTGAAATAAAAGTAATGTACTTTTTATATAAAACGAGCAAAATAGCTATGTCGAATATATAAGTAGTAAGATTTCTAAAAGATTACAACTTTGAATTTCTTTACTTTCGGTGATAGAATTACATAGGATCGAAGAATTTCTGTAGAAATAGCAATAACGAACTAATTTATAAAACTCGTAGCGTACCAGTCGCATTATGATTTCTCTTTAAAGCTCGTTCAGGTCTTCAATTGTTCGGAGTCACTGAAGCAGACACCCCTCAGCAGAAAATATTTTTATGCGCTGTAGGCAAGAAATGCAAATTTTATTTTATGATCATTATTCATTTCTTTAGAAATTCATTGTTTTCACGTCAATGAAAACCAAAATATTCGCATAGCATGAGTAAATTGTCGGACTGGCGACCGTACTGAACGTTTGCCGCTATCGGTAAACGGTCTCCTGTAAATGTCAGTCTTAAGGTCCTTGGTAAAATTTGTGATAGATTACAACTTTGAATTCTTTACTTTTGGTGATGAATTATATGGACTCGAAGAATTTTTGTAGAAATAGCAATAAGGATATAATTTATTAACCTCGTAGGGTACCAGTCGCATTATGATTTCTGTTCAAAGCTTGTTCAGGTCTTCAATTATATTCGAAGCAGGAACCTCTCAATCTAAAGCAAAGAAGAAGAAATGATAATTTGGCCTTAAAAACCTTTCTGTTAAAACTTATTTCACCATTCTTTACATAGACTATAGGTATGTTAATATTTTTATAGGCTGTAGACTAGAAACCATCTGGCTTACGGTCTAAATTGAATTGCGCATCAACGTGATATCGCTAAAAGTTGTGTACTTTGTATTTTCAACGAAAATAAATGGTCGAATACCTATACATGCTAGGAAGACTACAACTTTTAAATTCAACTTTTTCACAAATCGTTTCCAGGAGTTTTTTTCCGAAATAACAATAGCGATATTATTTATTAAACACTTACCTGTCCTCGTTCAGGTTTCAATTGTTTGGATGCACGAGAGCGTAAACTCATCTAGATAAAAGATCCTGGCGAATACGCGATTAAACATAAAGTTTACCTGTTTGGTTAACGAACAACAAGGCCATCGCTCATAAGAAGGAAGCAAAAATTAAATTGAAATAGTAAGTTAAAATCGTTTATATATTGTGAGATTCATCAACTTCAGTAGAACCGAGGCATTCGTAACATGTTTTAGGAAACGAAAGGTGTAGCAAAAATGTTGAAGCTTTTGTTCAGTATCACAATCTTGGTCGGAATTGCTGTCCAAGAAAACATGGGTGAGTATAAGTATTTTTGTAGGTTTTTATGAGTAAAATCAACATTTTCCTATGCATCTGTAAGTGGAATATAATATTTTGCAAAGTGCTTAAAGCCAGTTTCACAATGCGTTCAAAATAACCAAAGCCGATGATCCTTCAGAGGAAAGAAATCCGAGGCTTTAACAGGGTTATGTTATTTTTTATCTTGTCCCTGCGAAAGTCTTGCCTTGCTTGGGTTGCCTTGTTTTGTCTTGCCGAATTAATACGCGTTTTGCGAGAAATTTAGCCTTTTCCCTCAGTCTTTTTTTAACTTGTTTGGTAAGAAGTACATAATATAATTCCTGTATTTACAAAGCGATAGTCATGTAGGGAAAATTGGGCAAAAGTTCGATATATCCTTACACTGCAACTGGACCGTTTGGTGAGATTAATCCGAAATAAATCAAAGCCAAAAAACTTCGAATTATCTTTTAACGAAAGTAGTCCTTATAAATTATGCAGTAAAAATAGAGTCAAGATGCTTTAAGCAGATAGCAAATCACGAGGATAAATCAGCCTTCTACTTTTATACAACTACCTAGATTAAATTTAGCATAAATAGTTACACTTTTCAATATTCAACCCAGAGGGATACATTTTCCTAAGTATATTGATCCAATACTTTTCCCTAATTGTAGGCTCTCTCGGATTAGTTTTATCAATGATAACTATCTCACAATTATTAACTAAGCCATTGTGCTCTTTTGTTAAAAAATGTGAATGAAAAGATGCTTCAATGTGTTGTCCCGGTTGCAAATCGCTTTCTTTTGACATGTTTTATAAGTTATTGTTAAAACCACTCCAGTCTTACATCTTTGTTCATTAACTACCCTGCTTTGTTCTATGTTATTCCTTAACTCGCTTAGTTTCCTTCTCAATGAGCCATGTATGTATGATCTATTTTTGAACCAACTACATAGCTCCTGGAGATGTTTCTCAAATCTTCCTTACGTGATCCGTAGAAATTTTCTTAAGTCGCAAACCCTGATTATCTACTATAGATGTTTTAACGTGTGCAGGGTGCGATGACTGATAGTGTAAATATTGATGGCAGTCAATGGGCTTAAAAAAAAGACTTGTTCTGAACTTACCATCATCAATTTCCACCGTTACATCAAGGATATTTACCTTGCCCTGTGAGTACTCATAAGTAAATTTCAAGCTGGGATGGAACTCATTAAATCTGTTCATAAACTTTAATAGCTTATCCTCACCTTCTAACCAAATAAAAAAGGTATGATCATTATACCGTAGCCTCACCCATGGTTTTATCTCTTGTTGTTCCAAAAATTCCGTCTCTATCATGTCCAAAAAGATACATGCATACGGCGGGGCATATACATAATTATACTGATTTTAATTAGCTACATTACAGAGTCAATACATCATTACAAAGCATACGAGTCAACCTGTCAAATTATTAAAAAAAATTTTTGACAGTGGCACATATGACGTCATTGCAATTGAAAGAAAGAAAGAGCCGACAATTAGAAAAATAGAGTAATTAAGTGAACAGTTGTAGATCTTCGCTGGCCTCAACCCCAGTGTTAAAGAAAGGTCTCGTTACGTTTGACTAGGAGCGCCTCGAGAAAGCCGAGATAGGCACGACAACCTTTTAGTGTCGGAAATAGTGTACAACTTTACCGGTTTAGAAAGACTTCTTAGTATTTTATCGAGACAAGATTTTAAGGGAGATCACCCCGGTTTCCGAGATTAGGCAAACGGCTCCAGATTTTGGGCAATAAATTATCATCCGCTCCGCGGAAGGAGATTTTTCACAATACTTAGTTTTGAGTTTATTTATCGGGGAGTATAAAACATTATCCGGATAACGATTCCAAGACAAGAAAGATTTGATGATTTCAATTTGATTACTGAAAAATCGTTTTCGAACTACAAATTTTAAAAGCGCGGTGGTATAAGGTTTTCATCCAAGCTATTTTACGGTATAACATGGCTTGAAACTAGGAAAATGCGGGTACTGACCAGTGTGAGTGTCTTTACGATATAAACGTGGGTACCATCGATCGTGCGTTACTTTCATATCTAAAAAATGTGAGACACTATCGGGAGAAGTGTCAACTGTGAAGTCGAAACTATTAAACTTTGTTAAAACGGCGGAAATATAGGAAGGCTTGATTAAGACAAGCGTATCGTCAACGTAGTGTTTAAAATTTTTTAGTGTCAGCAATTAAGTTACAAACTATTAATCTTTCAAATTCGGTTAATATTATTCCCGAGCCGACGTAGAGTACCGCGCGAGAGTACTAATTCCGCCAGGAGATTAGGAATCACACCTGGGTATTGTGACAACATAACGGAATTCAAAGTGTCTAAATTCTATGTCATGGACTGTGGACGTTCAATGGTCATAGCACTTGTGCGCACGGGCAAAATTTGAACGAGTAAGGACTGATGATAAGAAACTTGCTCATACTGGAACAAAATGCTTGTATTTCAATGAAGAACGTCAGCAATTTAACCGTCATATTTTATCCACTATTTTTATAAAAAATGTTTCGTAAACATGATATGAAATTCGGATCAAATAAAATGATATAAACACTTCGAAAATATTAAAATATGATCAGAACTGGAAAAATTAAGCGGCGAAAGGTAAGCGGTGAACAACTCGTACTTTATAATCCTTGAAATGGCAGGTGTCTAGTTTGTTTATCTCGTGTTTGTTGTAAGAATGCATTTTACTTGAGCTTGGTATGTCGTTTTGCGAAGACCTATAGTAATCGTATTTTTTTTAAAAATTGCTTTGTCTGAGCCCTGCCCTGCAAATTCGCAACAAATTGTCCAAGCAAAACAATGTTTTCGACAATTGGGGTGAGTCACACCCCTACGTAAGGTGATCTTGAAGAACTGAAAAAAACTGTTAGTCTTTCAGTAAAAAAAGACGAAGACAATGATATGATGTCTTTTTTACTGATAATATTGGTGTATATGCTATGCGATATATTCCTGCAAACCATAAACAGCAATAATTATGATACTGCATTATTTTAAATGCCGCATTGTCACTGTTTTGCAATAGCGCGTATCTAAATATATCAAACACACTAAAACAGGTCCGTTTAACTCCATAAATACTCAAGAAACACCATCCTTGCTAATTTAAATTGAACTTCAATGTCTGAAGAAACGACACTGGCCGCGTGCACATTAAAACACCATGGTCAACATCACTTGACCAACACGGAATTGTGAATTCGCGAGATTGCGTACAGTTGCGCATGCAACTGCTCCGTAGATTTTCGCATTTTTTGCTGCTATTCTTGATGCTGCGGCTGAAATGTTATTAAAGGGAGATTGGTAAGACATCAGTTAACAAGAAGATAGAATTTATTTTAAACTTTTTGTTCGTTTTGTGCTAATATCTGGTGGTTTTTATCTATTACTAACCGTTACTGGACTCGTTTACATTAATTAGACGGTTGGTTTTTGACGCACGCAGTATACGCCATGCGTATGGCGACGAAAGCGCGCGTATTCAAACGTAGACGAGACATCTGCACACGTATATTGTATGGAAACTATAGAGACGCTTATGGTACTGTAGATATTTGTAATTGGATAGTAAATGGATTAATTCGTGTTTCGCTCTTGGTGACAATTGTCTATTGGTGCTTAAAACCATGTCCTAGCAACGTTGACTCCAAGACTTCCTTAAATGGGATCATAATCCAATGTTCTTTGGCAAATCTACCTGATAACTTATGCTTCACATGGACCGCTACTCCTGATCATCGGCTAAGAGTAACTAATTATCCTCCCGATTACCATTATGGATTAGGCTTCCAAACTACTGGTAAAGCATCCCACATCTTCCTGCTTATTCTACTTGCTGGTGACATACAAACTAATCCTAGCTCTACTCTGCAATCCAATAACAAGAACATGTTGCGCTGCCTATATTTTAATGCAAGAAGCGTCGTGCGTAAGTTGGATGATCTTCAAGTTCTCGCAGCTGATAAAGATTTGATCGCTGTTACAGAAACTTGGCTGAAACCGACGGTTATGGATTGTGAAGTGCTACCCGGGACAAATTGCAACATCTTTAGAAAAGACAGAACTTCTCGGCCTGGTGGAGGAGTTATGTTGGTCGTTCGAGATACGATTACGTGTTTTGGTCGTCAGGATTTGGAGGGGATAGTTCTGAGGTTCTATTTTGCGAGATTCGACCTAACAACAGACGTAAACTTCTTGTTGCTGTTTACTATCGACCACCGGATTCCAGTCTTGAGTACTTGAAGGAGTTAAAAGCATCTCTACGTCTAGCACATAATGCCAAATTCGATCAGCTCATTTTATGTGGCGACTTCAACTTGCCAAACATAGACTAGGCTACTGGCACCTCAAAAACCAATGACGCTATTGAGAACTGTTTCACAAAGTTAGTGCGTGATAACTACTTATGGCAATTAGTAGACTTCCCGACACGGATCTCTAACACACTGGATCTAATATTAACTAATGTATCTGAAAAAGTTAAAGATGTTTATGGGTATGATGACGTCATTTCTACTGATCATAAACTCATCAGTTTCACTATGGATTTTAACACTCCAAAAAAACTAACTGTCAAACGCAACGTCTTCGACTACAAGCGCACTAACTGGAATGACCTGAATGAGGCTCTTTCTAGAACTCCTTGGGATTTGGCTTTTACTTCAAATAATGTCGATGCAACCCTAACCCACTGGTGCGATTTATTTCTTGCTGCAGTAAAGGATCACGTGCTGGTGCGCCAGGTCAAGAGTGCGTCCGCCCATCCATGGATCGATGCAGAAATGTTGTCCTGTATCCGACGCAAAAATAAACTTCGGAGAAAAGCTCGGGCTACAGCGAATCCAGACGACCTTTCGCGGTATTCTGAAATTCGACGGGAAACAAAAAGACTCATCGCGCAGAAAAAGAAGGAGTCTGGCCATAAACTTGGTGATGTGCTTGCGAGCAACCCAAATCGTTTCTGGTCCTTGATAAAGTCATTAACTACTAAACGTTCTATTTCCAACGTCCTGCGTGATGGCCAAATGATTGTGTCTGATCCAGTTAAGAAAGCTAATTTGATGAACTCGTTCTTCAACTCCGTATTTTCACCTCACTCACCTGTCTCTCCTGCATCTTTTCCTTCCCGTGATGTTGATCAGCAACTATCTGATATCGAACTGTCAGTTGGTGAAGTAGAAGCTGTTTTGAATACACTGAATCCATCTAAGGCATGTGGACCTGACAACATCCCTGGAAGACTTATTACATCCACCGCAGCAGCTATTGCACCAAGCCTGTGTCGTCTCTTTAATATGTCTTTATCCCTCGGTGTTTTCCCAGAAAACTGGAAGAAGGCCAACATTTCTCCTGTCTATAAAAGTAACGATCCTTCACTGCCAAACAACTACAGGCCAATCTCTCTACTGTGCATCCTATCCAAGGTGCTAGAACGTTGCGTATTTAACCGTTGTTTTCCACATACATCGCAGTTCCTCTACCCCCTACAACATGGATTCCGTCAAGGCCATTCTACTGAATCTCAACTACTGGTTGTGTATCACGACCTGTTGGATTGTGTAGCCAGTGGCAAGGAGATTGATGTTTTATACCTGGATCTGTCGAAGGCATTCGATAAAGTTCCGCATCACCTGCTACTCGCCAAACTTTCTAAACTTGGTATATCTGGTTCCCTCCATCAATGGTTCCATAGCTATCTGTCTGACAGGTACCAACGAGTAGTATTAGAAGGTGCGTCTTCTGACTGGTTGCCAGTTTCATCCGGGGTGCCTCAGGGATCAATCCTCGGTCCCTTTCTGTTTATCGTTTTCGCAAATGATCTGCCTGGCTACATCACCACAGGGTCCACTTTAGCGCTGTTTGCCGATGATTCAAAATTGTATAAAACCCTTGATAGTCCTTCGTCGACGACCAATCTCCAACAAGACCTGAATAACCTTCGGGATTGGAGTGCTGATAACTCGATGCTTTTTAATCCCTTGAAGTGTAAAGCGTTGCGCATCTCCAGAAAAAAGTCACCCAGTCACAAGTTCGACTACATCTTGGATGGACATTTGTTGGAGAGTGTGTCAAGCATCAAAGACCTCGGTGTGACTCTCTCCAGAGGTTTACAATGGTCTAAGCACATCGAGGAAATCACGGCAAAGGCAAACCGAACGCTGGGATTGGTGAAGAGAGTATGTAGAGATGTGCAAGACGTGAAGACAAGGAGGACGCTGTACTGCACTCTGGTTCGCCCGCAGTTGGAGTATTGCTCCAGTGTTTGGTCGCCATACACTGCTAAACATCGGGCATTAATTGAAAATGTTCAACGCCGCGCCACCAAATTCATCCTGAACTACCCAGAAAGTAATGTATCTTACGCCAACAGACTCAGCGAACTTAACCTGCTACCCCTGGAATATCGAAGATCTATCAAGGACATTACTCTATTTTATAAATTCAACTCTGGTACTATGTATATCGACTCTAAGGGCATTTTCTCTCCAGTAAACTGTGCTCGTTTAACACGTAATTCTAGTTCACATAACTTTAAAACCAAGATATCACACAAACAAGATTATTATAGATTCTCCTTCTTTCCACGGGTGATAAATTTGTGGAACAAGCTACCGCATGATACTAAAGCCTCTTCATCACTACAATCACTTAAAACAAGGCTTATACTTCAATGTAAAGATACTCTGCAAAGTTACGTTCCTCCATAATACTTAGTAATAATAACTTCTGTTTTGTAATAATGTAAGCATATGTGACCGTCCGAGTTTGTTTGTAAAATTTCTGTATATGTCTGTACTATAGTTGTATTTTAGTGTATTTATTTTTAGATAAGGAGACAATTACAAATTGGGACTTATGTCCTGTTATTGCCTCCTGTCACTGCTGTAACTTTTAGTGACAAACCAATTAAAAAAAAAAAAAAAAACAAAAAAAAAACATATCTTCGCATTGATGATAAAACCAGCTTTTGCCTATATATCTCTTAGCCTCAACTTGTGCTACGGTTCTTCAGACGTCAAATGTATGCGCAGAATTTTCTTTCAATATTCTTTTATTTAAGGGATTTTGATAAACAAGAGTCGTACACGAATCTTTGAAATGGACTTATCCACGCAAAGAACCCCACCATGAAACAGAAAGTCGGAACAAAATTCAATATTTTCTTTGACTTTGGCGATCCATCTCTTTCGTTAGGAACATACGTATATATATTTCATAATTTTGATGAGTACTGGCTTAGACGGGAGTGTAAGAAACAAAGCTTTTTGGTCAACGTGGCTACATAACACTAGTATTTTTACGCCATGCTAAGAATCGGTACTATTTTCTAAGTCACAAACCACACTATATCCGAGCAAAAGTTCACACAGGAAATAGAAAAAATCGCAAATTTTGAAAGCTATAAAAATCTTTCGACAAAGCCAGTTTTGATTCTGTTTTCCGAAATGAAATCAGGAAAGTGAGCACTTTAAATTAAGCCAAAAAAGGGCTCGAAAATTTCAGACCGAGTTAGGCCGAGATTTATAACATCTGTCTCACCGCGGTTCGATCTCCGTCTGTTCTCGGTTCAACCGCGATCAGGCCGAGGTTTGAACTAGGTTAACCGCGGTTTTTGTTTGGTTATTTTTTGACAGTGCAGTATACCATTACAAACAATCCTAAAACAGATTTTTTTTTTAGCTAGCGGCACATGTCGAAAGGCAAATTGGTGGCATAGTTTCGACAAACCTGGTTGGTCCAATTGTCCTGCTAATACTCCCTATATCAACGGTTTGTTGAGAAGTAAATCCTCGCATCCCCATCGCGATTGGATATACCATCTTGAAGGGGCAAGTTGTTGTGATGCCGGGAGACCAAATGCTGAATGTGTACAAGCTAATTGGGTGCACAGTTTTGACAAGTAATAATATTTTTTCTCATAGTACTTTATATATTTAATATAATTTTTCCAACAAAAATTTTATTTATGCTTATAATATATCAAACTAATATGTTCGGCTTAACGCTGTCCAGAAAAAAATGGAGAACAACGTTCTCAATTACCGTCCGCTTCACCCGCACATGCGTCATGGAGAATCGGCTTAAGTATTAGTCGGGATGCGGGCGGGCGCGGGTTGAGACTTATCCCATATAAACTTTTCAACTGTCGCTTTTTATTTAATTGACAGATATTTTTATTTAATTTCGTTTCACGGCATTTGCAGACATCGTACTTGGAACCTATGCCCAGCAGGATATTATCTGTCCGGATTGCATCGCTCACACGGCCATAATCTACACAATATTGAGCATGCGCGGTGCTGCAAACCTCGTGGAGCACCGAATTCTTACAAGTCATGTTATGATGAGGGTGTTTGGTCCAGCTTTGACTGGAATCGTAAGGGTATGGTTTCATGCAAAAAACCTGGTCACTTCATCACCGGTCTTTACAGATCTACCTGTAACCACTTGTATTGTATTGATATGTTCAAATGCTGTGAATTGTCTGATGGTATGTATTATCGTATGTAGTCGACTTAATAAAGAACACAAGGACGCTAACTAAAAATTTAACTAGCACTATACAACGTTTAAAATATCCTTTTTTATACACTTTGAATTTTGCTATTATGACAATTATTGAAATGAAACGAAACAAAAAAAAATGTATATAACTCAAATAAGACTGGAATGCCAGTTCTCTTACTTTTCCTCATTAATGAGTGAAGCCAAGATGGCGGAAAATGAAGCCTCTCTTCTTGTAAGTATAAAACACGCGTGTTTTTTGCGTTGCTAATCACGAAGGGTGAAGCCGTAAAAGAAATTTTTTACTTTTTGTATGAATCATACCAGCTTTGTACAATTTTTTGAACAATTTTCATGGGAGACGATATTTTATAAAGGATGTGCATTTGACGGACTTTGCGATCATTTTAATTAAGCCCATATATTTGAACACAAGTCGAAAAAATGGGAAATGTGCTTATATTTTCGTTGGGAACGATGTCTTTTTTCTGTCTGAAACAATGTCCTAGAGAAATGATTTGTGTTCCGTAAAATGATCCTCTTGTTCCTCATATAGAATACATGCTATATTTTGGGTTACTGTTATCTAAAGCTGTCTGTAAGTTGAATCTATAAAGAGGAGTTTAAATTATCATTGATATATTGCCGATATTTACTTACAAAATTTCCGTGCCGGAGGACTGGATCTTACCTATACAAGAAAGGCTTCATACTCTGCTCTCCTCGGTTCATACCTCCGCTGGGGCTGGCGTACAAGTCGTATTTGAGTTCGCTGATCAGATCTTATTTGCGATTTAAAGAATGACAACATTCGTATAGAATACATGCAATATTTTGTGTTACTATTATCTAAAAAGGTCTGTAAATTGAAGCAAAAACGATCTTTAAATACTCATTCATATATTGGCACCATTATTTTTACCACCTACACAGTGAACTGAAATAAGACTGAAACGATAGCTCTGCAAAAAATTTGAAGCTGAGATAACGGAATATGACGCCTTTCTGGTAGGTGTGATTCAAGCCTCCACGCGGAAGTCTTGTAAGTAAAATGGCAGCAATTATGATTCGACCTTTGACATTTCCGCGCCAAAGAATGGATCATACGTGCAAGATCATACACTTGGCTTCAAACGTCCGGTGGAGCTAGCGTTCGAGTATCATTTGAGTTCACTCATATCCGCTTTCATTCGGGATTCAAAGAATGACGCCATCGAAAAGTAGGTGGCCCAAGCATTCTTCAAAATTCGTAAATAAACGTTTGAAGTTTAGCTTCGAGAGAATATGATAAAACAACCGGCGTTCAAAATAATCTTTATTGCTTTTATTTTCAAGTTGCGAGAATTTAGCAAACGTTTTAAACATACTACATTTTAATAAGATTCTTGTCAAGTTTGTCATAATAATATACTGAGTAGACTCGATCGTGTAACACACGCGAGAACAAAAACGCGATTTTGGAATAAACAACACTGATTTCTAGCCTCCCTGATTAAGCGAGACAAAATAACCAGGTCAATGAGGTCATTTCTTCAATGTACATTGGTTTATTTGTTGCAATAAAATTCTCTTTCGACTCATTAGTTGTTTTCTTTATAGGCCGGTGGAGAAATATTGGAAAGGGATGTGCTGGGGCAAGAGATAACAAATTTGCAAGTCTGACATACAAGGGCCCTCCTGGTTTTGTTAGTGCATTTAGGCTCACTCACACCCATGGAAAAGTCGGATGCGTTGGAAGCGCAAAAACAAATTGGGGATGTAATGGTCATTACCGCACCGATATGTACGTCACAGATGTTCGCAACGCGGTTATGTATCCTTCTCGTGTATTAACCAAGCCTCATCATCACGGCGGTTGGTATCACCTGCCTGGCTATTTCGAGAATTCACCTCAGCTGGTGTTTTCAGATGTTGGCACCAGGTTCATTTATCGAGGGCAGCAAATGCGAGTCTGGTATGGTGAAGATCTTTACGGTTATACCGAGCATGACAACCATGGAAGCACTTGCTTCACGGCTGAACTTTATTTTGTTAAATAGCCGTTTTTAGCGATCAAATTAAACTCGCTTATTTCTTATTACCCTTAATTGTTAAAGGCTTTTGTTCGGTGTGTAATTGTCACAATTTTTTTCATTCGAAAAAATAATACAATTTGAATTTACCAATCATTTATGTTGTATTAATTATTTTTTTTATTACAAAATATTAGATGAAGTTTAGATTATGGGAAACAATTGGGAGATTCCTATGTTACATTGCTATTAAACCATTTAAATTATAAGTACAACTCTTACAGTGTTTCACCGCGATTCACTCAGTGTTTATCACATTGCTTCCTAACGGCACAGAATACCCATCAGAAAGACAACTTAATTGTTTTTTGGATCACTGTAATTGGCAACTCAGCAAGGACGATAAATAGAAACCATCACCCCTTGCCAATATTGAAAATGGCGCCATCTTAAATATTGGCGCGGGGGTATCTCACCTACGCAAAAAGAGACAATGGCGTATGTATGTATGTATGTAAAACCTTCTTTAATGACGCTAGCCTTATCAACAAAAGTTGGTTTCCATAAGGGGCGTCCAAAACACAATAGAACATTTACAAAAGATAATAATATATCTACATAGCTATTTCCCAGCTAACACAATTACGTTGTAGCAACGTTGTACGAACGTTTGCCGAACGTACACACTACGTTGTAATTAACGTCGTTGGAACGTACTTTTGTGAACTCCCACGAACGGATTAAACACGTCGGGATTGACGTACCAGTTTTACGTTCGTACAACCTTCGGTCGACGTTTGGACATTTATACAACGTTCATAGCACGTTTCTGGAACGTTCCAACAACGTACAGTGAACGTTCACTTAACTGTTGGTATGAAACGTCCTCATTAGTTTGAAAGGCATTTTTCAGACAAGTCCTTGAATTATCAAATTTCATGCAATATATGCATGTTAAAATTTTTTATCTTGCTTAAATTATTGGTCAACAATACAACATGATGTACAGGATAGAATGCAATTTATTTAAATAAAACTTAACTGTGTATACATGTATAAAATTAATACGAATCAAACCATTTACAATATTCTTTATTATATATATGTATATCATGCCAAAAGGCCTATCTACATGATGCGATTAGTCGTATGCGATTCATATACCGGCGTATGTATTCGAGTAAATACGTGTGTAAAGATGTCAAATTTTAAATTTCGTTTTAATAAACTGAGGAACAGAAAGACTGGCATCAGCAATCGTTTTCATACGTCTGGATAAGAATCGCATACCACTATAATCGCATCGTGTAGATAGGCCTTAGATAAAATGTACACCATGCATAAAATAAGTTATGCACTTCCTTGCTCCTGGTTCCTACGATCCTGCAAAGAAAAAAAACGCAATAAATGTTAGGTATATGTTGGACATATAAGCCCTTCAAATTTATGGTAATATGTCAAACATTAATTAGAGTCTATTAAGATAATTTTCATATACGGACCGTAAGACGCGTCTCCTGTATATGTAGTTTGCACTTTACTAGTGGCTAGTATTAGAGTTTGAAAATTCGATTGTGACAAAGATTGTGAAGAGGTCCGCATTGCTGTAATGCGAGCCTCGTACTCTAGCAATTATAGAGGTGAGTTATAGTTACCTTGTATCTAGAGCCACCGGATTTCTGTGGAGCATGCTTCAAATACTCTGCAATTTGTTCCTCGATGTCTATTTCACTTACACCTTTGTGAACACGTAGACAGGCCTCTATAATTAAACAAAAATAGAACAATTATAGCTAATTATCAGAAAGGGTTAATAGCAATGAGCCAGTTGTTCGAAAGGTGGATTAGCACTAAAGCACCTGTACAGTACATGGGTACATTCATCACCAAACAGAATACATTATAATTCATTATTTCCTGGTAAAGCCTGGCAAATATCATGGGCCAAACAATAATGTACAAATATACTATGCTATACTTACTGATAACAATTTTCGAGACAGCAAGTTCTTTAAATGCCCGCTTTGCTTTTCTCCCCTTCAGACTATATAATGACCACAGCTTGTTTGTTCCAACCTTAGCCAGGATTCTTCTTGTGCTAACACCATGGTTATGCCCACCAGAGCAAGGAAGAATTGTAACTACAAGTAAAATATTTATATTAATTTTATCGTGAACAAAAACAGTACGTGGCAGAACAAATGGCAAACCAGGGTGTCTGCATTATGCTCATTACCATTTTTTTCCTAGCATCTTCATCTGCAAGTCGATCATTAAGGTTTTCCAATTCCTCAACTGAGTCCAGAGGATTGGGAATAATATCCTCAAGCATGTCATTTCCACTAACACCTCTTGTGGCACCAAGTACTACCCGCAAAATTGATAATGCTTCTTCTTGTTTTTCAAGCATTATATCAAGCTTCGTCAGAACAGATCTTTGAAAGCCTAATGACATTTTAAATGTATTTATACTATTAATTATGTAACTTTGTTAGGAATGGATGACCAGCTTTCTTGATATTGGGAAATGACTGGCCACACCAGAAAACATACATGCACATAATATTAAATTATTACATTACGTGCATATAATTGAAACAACATATCCACAAAACAAAAAATCAGACAAGATCTCATGGACTCTAAAGAAACCACGCCAACTTACTGTCGTGATCCTGATGTAGAGAGTTGCGATTGCCTGATTTTGGTGTTTCAAAAGAGTCTGTAGTTGCACCAGAACCTGACAATTGAGAAAGAAAATTACTGAAAATGCAAAAAGTTATAAATTTGACTCTGAACAATATAGCGCAATGTTCTAGAATATATAGTACCCATATGTACACTGGCCATGTTTTATGACATATAAAACACTCAGCTTTGTCTCGTTTATATGTGATAAAACACATGTGTTTTAAATAGTACTTAAAATTTTGTCATGGCTTCACAACATGACCCGTTATTGCAGCAAGAAAGTGTTCAGTATAGACATAAAATATGCAACATTAAGTTGAGCACAATTTTTATTCCTTCCAGCTATGTCCAGATTTGAAATAGTGATTTCTTTTTAGTAACTGTTTGAGAAAGACTACCACTACATAAAATATTTCTCTTTGGCAAGCATAACGAAATCAAGTATACATACTGTAATGCTGGCTTCTTTCACATGAATTCCTGTTGCTTCAGGAGTTCCAACAGCTGTTTGATAAAAAATAGCCTCAGTCTGGCCTAGCATATGAATTAATGACTCAATACACGTACATACAGCTGTACAATAAAAGCTAGAAAATCAAATGGAACATTCTTACTTCCATGGACATTCTGTACACCAGAACTTAAACTGGTCCTAGATGCATCAGTGAGAGGATTGCTCAGGGCACTAAAAATTTCTGAATATCAACAAAGTATAAATTAATACAACAGCAATAAAAACGTTTTAACTAAAAAGTATGACCTTATTTAACTACTTTCAAATATCAGGCATTAGAAAGACGATTTTGCGAATTATTCAAAAGAATATGTGATTTGCACTGGTCATATTTAATTACATATAAAACACATTCAATGCTTACCACTGGGATTTAAAGAGAACACCTGATTGACTGCATTTACAACTGAACCATCTTGAAGAACATCATGATGACCCAGGCTATTGCTCACATCGAAGGTTGACAAACCCTTTCTCTGAGCCATGGGCAGACTCATTTCATTCGATGGATTTGATGAAAAGCTCGATGCAACAGGGAGCAATGGTGTAATAACTGGGGAAGATGATGTAGGGGCTGACTTCTTTTTCCCATTTTTTGAGATATCTTCATCCGCTAAAATGTAAATGAGAGAAACAACTATAACCTCAGTTGCAGAACAATATAAGTGCTATACACCACACCTGGTCATGATTGAGAACACTTTTTCACAGGGCGAAAATCCCATCCTTACTATGTAAGAAATATAAACCTAATGCCCTCAACATTTCAACTACAGTAGCCTGTTGAGCAATACCAAAGAACTTACTATCACTGCCTTCTGAATATTCAAATAAACTGGCTTTTGTGCGCCTTCTTTTTCTTGCATGGCCAGAATCTGAATCGGATTCAACATTTGATGTTTCTTCAGCCCTTTTCAAAATCTTTTGTGCTTTTGCTACTGAATCTTAATAATAAAACATGGCATATAAAACTCTAATTGGCAATTTACTTGTCAGGGCAGGTGTCCAGATAAAGTGTTAAAAAGTGCCATTACTGTAATGGTTGGAACCTTCAAAAACTCCCGACACAATTTTCAAAGCTATTAAAAACAAACCTGTATATGAGAAAACTCTGACTTTATAAGCAATCCAAGTTTCTTTGTCTGGAATCTCGAGCTTCCTTAATTTATGAGATGCATTATTTCGTGGCCAGTAGCAGTATAATTCCTAGAATGACAAGTTTTGTAAACAAAAATACTGTTAAACTAGAGTATTTAGCAACATAAGATCATCATGGAATGGTCTATTTAGGGTGTTAGCAAGTCAAAAATTTGGCATGATACATGTACCCTGTTTTCACAACCAAATCTAGCCAGCAATTATCACAATTTAGAAAAAGGAAACTGGGTAACACCCAAGAACTATTCTGCAAGTGAACAAAATTCAACAAATTCTAACTACTTACACAATCAATTGTCTCAATCCAACATGTTGCAACAATTTCCACTAATTGTTCCTCTATAAATTCAACGACAGCATATATGTTGTTTGCCATCTATAACAGAAACAATAATTAAACAAATTGCATAATTTTTTGGGATTTTAGAGGTGCAGAATTATAATTAAAACCAGTACCTTCAGTGCAGAGTGCTGTTAGTATTTTGTGTGCAATATAGCCATGAATATTTTTGTCAGGGCCAAGATTAATTTTTGGCTTTTCTCTTGAGATCTTTGGAAGGCAGTAGTCTCATATTTGTCCAGCGTTGGTTAGCCTTGTAAGCACCAATGAGGCGGGAATCACATGGAGTCATGAAGATGGATTCAGTTTTGCTATAAACTCGGCATTGAAATAATTCATCCCCATTGTGATCATGATTGCCAGTCTTATCTACTACTTCACAACATGATGATTCAGACAAAATAAAAACATTATCTGGATTTTTTACACTGACTGCATCCTCATCTACAAGTTCAATGGAACCAGAGTGTTCACTCATGCGTTTTGCAATCTGTGCAATTGGACTCTTCCCTGATCACAAGACGTTTCAACTTTTGCATGTAGTTTTCAAATGGAAAGAACTACACGCGTCTAAACTTTCAAACTCTTCAACCACATCTGCCAAATGAACCATACTATGCACATTATATACCAAAAACTCATCACCATACAAACATTTGCCTTGCTCAACAAAGTATTCCATGAGTTGCTTCGCATATTCCCTGTAAGTCTTAGCTAACATAGGGCACACCAAAATGCAGCTAGCAACGCTAAGAGATAAGAAGTGCTCATATAAATCTGGTCTTAGGATACCGGATAGAACAATTTTTCCAGTATACAAAAGAAATTGCCGAAACTCAGTGGCCTTCCACCGATCAATTTCTGCTAAGCTCCGTGGCTTACGTGCAAATGTGCTGGGTATGGAAGACTTGACCTCTATCAATTTAGTACTGATAGACTCCGCCTGGCCAGCCGATATCTTAACTTCTCGCTTTCCTCGTAACCATAGCAGAAGCAATTTCTTCATGACGCCCAGACACAATTGATGCATGTAGTCAATCGGAAATTTCTTAATCATATCAACTGGCAATTTACTGAAGGGACTAACACCATTATGATGCCCTTCATGCACTTGTTCTCTAAAAGAAACATCTGTCCGCAACTCAACATTTCTAATCAGAGAGTACACAACACGACCAACCCATATGCCCTTCTGTGCACATTTATCACACCCAAAATAGCCAGAACACAACTTTGTGCCTTTTACAAGGGCTCTAGCGGGAGCATCACAAACTACACATCTTAAACAAACTGAAAGAACAGTTTCACCGTCTTGGAGCCCATTCTGTAGAAGATTATTCAAATCTCCAATTAGGTCATCCAAAAAATCCAAATCAACTGGTTTGGAATTACCACAGGTTAAAACCACTGGGAAAACAACTACAGGTGTGATATTTACAATGGCACATAATACTGGCCATAAACACTTCCTTGAACTCTTAAATAATGGAAGACCATCAACATTCAAAGAAATTTCAAGAGAATTAGTCCTAGCAATTATGTCTGAAGGATATTTCTTAAAGTGTTTCAACAATTGATTAGCAAGGGGAAAATAAACATATTCCATCCCAGACTTTTCCTGAATGGTTATATTTCTGGATGTGTGCAGCAAGGCACGAGCAGTAAGAGGCAAGTTTGGATGCCCATTCTCTTTCAACACAGAAAGAAGACCATCAAGTGCATTATGTTTTATCATAAACCTATTAGCCCAATTGGTTAAGCCTTCAGCAAGAGAATCATCTAACAATTATCATTCTCAGAATCTGATGAAGAAATAGAGTTATCATGCCAAGTCTCATCCAAATTTAACCTATCATGATTGCTTAAGTGATTTTCCTCAACAGAGGTGCAGATACGTTTAACAGGCTGCAGGTCATGATCATCTGACACAGTTCCAGTGTCATGGTTCAGGGGTGCTGAATCAAAAGGTAGTTCAAATAATTCAGTATCATCAACTTCAACTGGAATGGGAGCACTAGTACGTTTTAAACTACGAGCTGCAGCAGTCCAGTTCTTCCTATACTGTGCTCGGTTTTCTTTCATTTATGAAGCTGCAATAAACAACAGAATATAATCACTCATTGCTTTTTTTTTGGTTTGAGAAACTACCTGCAGTTGAAATTTTGCAGTGATGTTTAGAAATATGAAAGTTAATTAAGTCTATCATAAATGTAGGTATACATGCAAAATATACAATATGAATAAAACATAAAATATTGAGCAGTTCTAATTGCAAAATCGACTTCTGTGTGACAATTACTCATGATTCCACTTCTCTTTGAATGTATTTCTCTATATTCCCTGTTTAATTAAAATGACTATGTCAACTACACCCCATGAAAATTCAACACAGTTTGTGGGTGCAACAAAACTTCTGACAAACTTAAAACTTATTTGTTAAATATATTATTCACCAGTAATTACTTGAATCAAATACAAATATTTTAAAATATTATAGTCATACAACTATTCAATATTAATGTTACAGCATTCAGAATAATAAAAAATGCCAAGTATATGATGTAGTCATGCTGTAGGATCTATTATTGTGCATTCTTATGAAGGATCTATATATTATGGTGCAACAAAAATTTGTTTCAGTTTTAACAAGATTGATTAATTATCAAAACCTATAAACTGCAAAATCTATACCATGAATTTGTGGTCACAGCTGGGCAAATGGGTTGTGTTGCACAAACATTAAACTTTAAATATCAAGTTCAAATTTTAAGTGCACACAGGTATCACAGTGCCATACTACATGTAGGCCTATATACATGTAGGCCCATATATATAAAGGGCCTGCTCCTGCTTGCTGGGAAATTGTAGAATGTGTGTCAACTCTCATGCTTTTACACATACTGTATTTTTTCAATTACCTTAAAAAGCAATTTGATAATTAATGAAAAAGATTTAAGTGGAGCATTTTAGAGGTAAATAAGTTAAAATAAGCAAATTTGAGCACAGCAAACATTATTTCTTACATACTGTACATGATACATTTATGACTATATCATGTATGACTGTATGACTATAACAGTGGATGATCAATTTACTTTTTTTGAATAAGCTCTTCAATTATTAAACATATAAAAAGATAAAAGAGAGACAATTTACACCTTATCTAATGTACTAGAGTAACATAAATTATTTATACTTGATTGAATCAGACCAAACTGCATTATTGATGGATTGAACTCAACCGATTTCAATCCTTCTTAAAACATGCCCATCCGTATTTTTGGAAAGGTGTAATATCTCTTTTATCTTCCTTTAAAGTTTAAACTATGATTTAATTATTCTATATAAAGCCGTTTAATGAAACGATAACTGTTTATAAAGGATGATGAAAACCACCATATGGCGGCCATCTTAAATGCAAATATTAACATGCCTAAAAATCTTTCCTCGCAATATATGTAAATATTTTCATACA